TGAGGACATGGCCCTTGATAGGGAATTATGGAGGTCGAGCATTAGGGTTGTAGGTTAGGGGAGAGTGTGATTACTTCTACAGCACAAGTGAGAGAGACTATCTAGTTAGGAGTTAGACTAGGAGTGTCAGTGGTCGTGTATTGATGCATGACTTTACCTTCTAGTTGTACTATACCAGCCATCTATTTTGTATTTCGTATTTCGTATTTCGTATCTCTTATATAGTGTTGTTATTTTTATTACGCATTTTTATAGTGCTAATATATCATCTCCTATTGCTTTTTTTGAGCCGAAGGTCTCCTGGAAACAGCCTCTCTACCCTTCGGGGTAGGGGTAAGGTCTGCGTACATATTACCCTCCCCAGACCCCACTTGTGAGATTATACTGGGTCGTTGTTGTAATCCAAAGATTTAAGATGGAATTAAATATATCGATTGATATATTAATCATTACGTAAATTTTTTTTTTGAGGGCAATAAGGATTGTTTCGTTTGGAACGCGGCGGGGGTGTGTGGGGCTATTGCCAATTTTCCTATAATTCCAAAATAAATAAACTTTACCAGTTTAAGGACAATGTAAAGAAGCTATTACATCATCACATAGTATTTATATGTAATTTTTTTAATAATAATATGTTACTCTTTTTATCCAAATTTATGTGACGGTATTTGACTGGAAAAAAAATCTTTAAAACTTAAGCCTAAAATAAGTCATAATTATTTTATGACTATATACCATCTTATTAAGAGTGAAATAAAAAATTTAAAATAAATTATTTGTACATAAAAAATAAAATATTTTAAAAAAAAGTATGACAGGCAAATTTGGATAGAAAAATATATAATAATTTAATAAAAATAAAACTAACGTGCTATAATATGTCAATTGAGTTTGTGACTCTTTACAAATTTATTTTTTGTTTTATGATCCTAGCTCTTTTTTTACACATGAGAAATTTATTTTTACGCGTATCTCTATTTTTATATATAAAAAATCTAAAGAGATTATTTTCTTTATTTTTAAAATTGTAAAGGGATATAGTGTACAAATAATACCTATAATTAATTAAAGTAATACTCCTATAATAAATATTTACACTATCACCATATATAACTTAAAAAATGAGATTACTGACGAAACTAAAAAGTAAACACAATTAATGTACTGCTACTAGTAATATAGTAGTATAAGATTCTGTACGTATTAATTAGACTCGTGTCCCCTTTCCTTTTCTGTCCTATATCTCTGCACCTCATAATACTTTCCTAACTTCTCTTCTTCTCGCTCACCCACACGTCTTCCCCGTTCACTCTCTCTTTTCTGCAAAAAATAAATTTATCATACCCATATTTCAGATTTATTCATTCATGTAAGTTTAACAGTTCTTCTATTAATTTTATCAATGGAACAGAATTTTTCATTTTCTTTTTTTTGTTCCCCTTAATTCTTGAAAATCAGAATAATTTCCTCTGGTTTTCTCACACCCTTTATTTAGCTCAAGTGACAGAAAATTGAGATCAGAATTGTCTGCTATGAGATATATTCATGCAAATTTGTTTGATTAATATTTTAACTATACAGGTTTTAATGCACAGCTACACTGGATATCAACTGAAAGCCTGAACAATTTATAGAGATTTTAGTTTTCTGTTTACTATAAGGTATGCTTTTGAGTTGTTTAGACAGTAATACATTAAGTTAAAAGGGTTGCCAAGTCTTGACTTCGAAGGCAAGAAAAGTCGATTAAAGCGAAAGGGAAACTTAGTATAAAGCTTTTATCCAATATGTTTAAAGGTTCTTAGTGTTGGCGATTTTGAGCTTTTATTCTTTTATTTGTTTCCATTCCCCTTTATTTGATTAAAATGCCAATTAGATGGATGTCGGTTTCTTTTCTTTTTTTCTCTTTTTCTTTGGCATGGTGGGTGTGGAGGTCGACGACATGATCCGTGTAGAGGTCGGGGATAAGAGTAGAAAGTTAGTAGGTAGTCGAGCGTTTTACTTTTTCTTTTGGTGTTAGTATGGTATCTTTTTATTCCTATATTGTTGTTACTACCTACTGATTGATTGCTATCTTTTGCTTCGGTTTTCTTAATATCTTGCTGTTGCTATTGCTTGCTTCCACGGCTTCTTTTCATCTTTTCTTTAAGCGACGGTCTAACCGGAACAACCTCTCTGCCCTTTCCGGGTAGGGGTAAGGTCTGCGTACACCCTACCCTCCCTGACCCCACTTGTGGGAATTCACTAGGTTTGTTGTTGTTACTTTGGCATGGTGGGTACTAATCAGCAGCATAGAAATGTTGGTTTGGGTTGTATTGTTTGAACTACATTTGCTATAATATAATGGATATCTTGTTTGTTAGATATTCCTATGTTCTTGAAAGTTTTGTAACTTGCATTTTTTCCATTAAATAGGTGATCCTGACATTTCGTTGTTGACTAATTATTTGGAGTAGTAATTGATGGCATCGCCAGACGTGCATACCCCTTGGCTATCATCAGCTGTTGAATCTTTCGGTGGATCCTTCAAGATACGCATAGAAGAAGAAGAGACAGTAGACAGCATAGAATTCTTTGAAGATCCAAGCTCTCTAGCTTGTAATCTACCTAATATTCCGAATCCCCCTTCGGCTCCCGGTAAAATTTGTTCAAAAGCCACTAATCCTCGACAACTTTCTAATTCTGATTGTGTCCCGAAAGAAGCAAAAGATACATGGGACAAGCTCTTCAAAGAAGGATATGGAGCAGACGTACATATTATTACAGACGATGGATCATTTATTCCGGCTCATTATGCCCTTCTGGTCAGTATGTTTAGTTGAATTTGTCTATCAGGTTTTGTTTGTTAATGATGCCCATTATTTATTATACTTTCTTCCTTATGATTTTCATAGAGTGTTGCATCTCCAGTGTTGGGGAATTTCCTGCAGCAATCCAAAGTAAAGAATGGTATTAGATGCATAAAAATCCCTGGGGTACCTTGTGATGCGGTCTCTGCATTCATCCGTTTCCTCTACTCAGCCTGGTATGCAGGACTTTTCACCTCCTAGCTATCTGAATCTTTAGCGAGTTTAATAAAAATGTTTTTATCCAACGTTATCATATGTTCATGATAAGAATGGGACACATAATTTTAACTTTCTTTAACGAAATAATCGAGTCAAAGGACAATGCTTACATATCATCACATATCTATGAAGATCCTCAATATCAAACTTATTTTCCTTGTACTTCTGCACACATACACATAAAGTTAAAGGAAGAATGCTCCTGGTAATATGTCACTAGAAGTTGTACTTCCTTGGGGAGGGGGGGGGGGGGGGGGATGTTTTACCTTTCTGGATTTGCAATTTTTGTTACAGTTTTCACTCAAATTTCTAATGGCAGCTATTCATCAATTGAAATTATTTACGTCACATTTTTAACCTTATGCAGTTACGACGAAGGAGATATGAAGAAGTTTGTTCTGCATCTGTTGGTCGTATCACATGCCTACTCAGTACCATCACTTAAAAGAGTTTGCATAAACCATTTGGAACAAGGTGGGTTGAACTTGGAAAATGTGATAGATGTGCTTCAGTTAGCGAGAAGCTGTGATGCACCACGGCTTACCCTCTTTTGCATCCGTATGATTGTGAGGAACTTCAAGAACATATCATCAACTGAGGGTTGGAAAGTAATGAGACAAGCTAATCCTGTACTTGAACAGGAGCTTTTAGAATCCGTTGTTGAAGCAGATTCGGTAAGATGGTCACTGCTCTTTGTCTAGAGAATATTGCATTCTTCTTTATAATTTGAATACCCAGTGACTTGTCGCAGATTCACTGAGATGCCTTGTCATTTGGAGTAGATTGATTGGATCAAGACCAAAAAGTATGTGGAAAACAATGTGTGCTTGACTTTGTTTCATCTTTTCAATGGGAACTTTCTCCTGCTATAAAGCATGCCATTGATCTTATCATTGCTTCACTAGATATGACAATAATTATCCATCTCTAAATGTAGTACTTACACAAGCCAGCCAAAATAGCTATCTTATTTTTGTCGCACCCCTTTCTCTGAAAGATATTGTCGCACCCCTTGTTTGTGCATCCAGTTTTATATAGAAATTTACATCTACAATGAGGCACTGTGTTCGTCAGCTTATGGATGCAATCTTTTTCTTATCCAGATTTTGGTATAGCCAAAAGATTCTACATGGCCATTAATCCTGAAAATACACGCGTTGAAGATACATATAGTAATAAACATGAACTAAATGTTTGATTTATCTTGATCATTTCCTCTTGTTCCACAGTTATTTTTCGACTGGNATTTGCGTCGTGCATGCAATTGCTAAGCAATTTGTGCTTGAGAAATAATATAGTAAACATTGAATATCTTTTGGTATGATAAGCTATAATAGAAATAGATAATCTTATTGTTCTTTTTTTTCTCCCCAGAGAAAACAAGATAGACTGAAGAAAATCGAAGAGAAAAAGGTGTATTTACAACTGCATGAAGCTATGGAAGCTCTGGTTCACATTTGCAGAGACGGGTGCCGAACAATTGGGCCTCGTGACAAGGTGCTTAAAGCAAGCCAGGCGGCATGTAGTTTCCCAGCATGCAAGGGGCTGGAGACTCTGGTCCGTCATTTCTCAAGTTGCAAAATTAGAGTTCCTGGTGGATGTGTCCATTGCAAGCGAATGTGGCAGCTTCTTGAGCTTCATTCACGCATTTGTGATGAACCTGACTATTGCAAAGTTCCTCTTTGTAGGTAAGTGAAATAATTTTTCTGGTGATATTCTGTTGGCAGAAAAACACTTATGCGGATTTTTATTCAAGAAAGAATTAAAATGCATATAGAGAGGTTTGTGAAACAGTAGATGATGACATGTCAGCTGTTGACATAAACTGCCAGAACTGTTTTTTTTTTATGGTTCGATGCCTTAGTTTGACTTAAGCAGACCGGTATTTCAAACTATTCTTCTGTTGTTACTCAGCAGCCAAACAAATGTTTCTTTGCATTAAGGACTATCTCATTGTTTATTTTTGAAGCTGTCTCTTGTTATACAACTAAAACTCTACCTCTAAAGCATCTAGATGAAGTCGGGTGATGAAAGTTAAAAAAACATCCGTCTCTAAATGTGTAACCCTACTCCGATTGGCTGTCTCTTGAGGAGGATTATAAGTTACTACTCATTTACACCACCATATTTGGTTTAAGACGGCAAATGACTGTTACGAGGTACATGGTATGCATATATTTAGCTGTTGAACATTTCTGGTAAACTTTTTGAACCCTTTAGGGATCATCACAAAATTAGAAAAGGAGGCATGTTTCGTGCAGTAGTAGTGATTCTAAATTTGAGAACAAAAATACCAGTTAAAGGGTGATCCCTATTTTCTATTGTTTGTATCATTCACTTCAATATTTGGACAGATTACAGCATAACAAATGTCATTTTATTGCTTTAGGCACTTCAAGGTGAAAATGCTGCAACAAACGAAGAAAGATGCGGCAAAGTGGAAGGTTTTAGTGAGCAAAGTGAACGCAGTGAGCCTATTCTCATCTAGGCGGGCAGATTTGTAATGACCTTTAGAATAGTAAATATGATCATGCTTATAACAACATATGGCCAATATTTTAGCTGGCCATACAAGCTGTGTAAATTACAGCTACTCATCTATCTATATCTATATCTATATCTATATCAGCATACTATATTATAAGTATGAAGACATTTAGTGAAAGTTATTTTACTAAAATATCCTTCAAAAACTGAATGACCAAATTGCCCTCCAATTTGTTTCATTTTCAGAAATCCCAAAAAAGCACACCTACATTAACGTGGGAACAATCCCCAGTCCCATTATAATAGGCTTCCTTATTTATTCCCCAAATTTTCTTACTCGTCTTATGCTCTCTTTTTATTTCTTTTTCCCTTGTATGTTTCTACTGTAATAACTCCATCAAACTGTAAGTGATTAATCATTAATAGGAATAATTTTCTGGAAGCAGTTTTGTATTTTTCATCTTCCACAGCAGTGAATGTAATGCAGGTTGTTCATCACATTTCAGTTTTTTTTTCCTTTGATCTTCTAGGAGTCTTTTTGTATTCTTTATTTTATACCCTATAAAAGTGCACATCAAATTATCCAACCACTATGTCACTTGCAAAATGAGGGCATCGCGTAGTTTTTTTTTTGAACAAGATACCAGAAAAGTATAGCAAGAGATTTTGGAAGAAGTAAGACCCTTACAGCATTTTGCTTTTTCTTTTTCCTGCAATCTTTTAATTTTGCTTGTTGTATTGACTACTACAAATATTTAATAGTATTGAAGAATGTCTTTATTAGAACAATTAGGTTCTGATTTACACTAAAATGCTTCATGTCATTAATATTCTTGCTCAAATCTTCAGCTGGCTGGTTTTATTTGCTTTTGCACTCCTCTTTGTGTGAGGCAATTATCTCTTTCAGGATGTAGAAGTAATATTTTATACCTTTCTCATTTTTGTGTGGTTCTTCTGCATCACAAGGATGCATCTACAATCCCGTGCATGTACTGTATTTGATAAAATCTTTGATTTTATTCGTATTTAATGTCTCCATTATTATTTCTTTAGTTGGACTTGTATATTTTATATATTCCTCATCACACACACATATTGTAATATTATTTATTCTCATTATTTTGTTTGTCTAAGTTCTTTTTTACCTATTGTTGCGACCAAAAACACCCACGCAAGTGTACGTGATCGTCAAGTAATAGAGTAGTGAGTAGAGTATCGTTCCCACAAAGACTTATGATCAACTGTTGACTGATTCAAACCCAATTTCTTTATCTACCCAAGAGATTGTTCATAAGAGAGATATGTAATTGTTTTACTACTTAACTATAAAGAATTAATCTAACCAAAGCAAGTAACCAAACAGATAGCAATCACAAGTAATGAACAATAGGAGAAGATATTCCAGGGTCACAGGTGTAATACAATCGTGTTGTGTCCTTGGCTCAAAATGACTAATCAATTTATCTAGGTTATTGATTGACAGGGTTGATATTACTCATAAGAATCTGTCGAGTTCTTACTCGCCTGTTCAAGTCAACTCAATGCCTATATGTCTATGGAATTAAGATTAACAAGAACGCATTTACAATTCCTGTATTCCAACCAAACAAGGCAATTGGGTATATGTCTATCCCAATTGCAAATCCGTTCCCCGAGGCCCAGGTTCAAGAACTTGCTCTATTTAATTCTATATGCAATCTAAAGTTCCCACTTTCGAGTTCAACTGAAGATTCGTAGATAGTATTTCACTGTTAGCTACTCAGCAAAATAATTAAGAAGAAAATTAAATAAATAACCCAATATGATAAACCAATTTTGTCAAATTAAACTTCAAACAATAACATTCATGTTTTACCCACGACCGTAGAACAATGGGTCTTAGCTGCTCATACTAGGTTCATCATAAACAAGTTCAATTTCATCACAAACAGCAAAAACAAAAGAACAAAAGAAGACTTTGATGATCAAAACTCCTCCTTGCCTCTCTATCTCCTCCTCTAAACTATGAAAAACTTGATAATTTAACCTTGGGCGAGCTTGACTTTATATAGGTTAAGTGGGTTTCTCTCCAGATTTCCAATTTTATCCCTAAATAACGTTTCTCCGGATCGGACACGCGCGAACTATTGCGCGAAGTACGGAGTTCGCGCATGACTTCGCGCGCCTCTCTTGGATTCCAGGCAGAAAAGCTCGCGAACTATTGCGCGAAGTTTGGAAGTTAGCGCGTTACTTAGCGCGCTTCAGTAGCTCGATTTTGTCCATTTTTCCGTCTCGTCCTTGCGCACACTCGACTCCTAGGGGTTGTTCTTGCTCATAAATCATTCCAATCTCCTCTTGAAAGCATCATTTAGGCTCCTCATCCTGCAATGTATACATATCACAATTAGAGCCTATTTTTCATCAATTAACCATAATATGTCATCGGAATATAATCAAGCGGAAGCATAATCAATAGCTAAATCACTTAGATTTCGCCTATTATCACCACCCCACACTTAATTCATTGCTAGTCCTCGAGCAATCAACTATACTCTCTAGAGAATCCTTCACTCAACCATTTCCTTTAACGCACTACACCTAGAACAATGTACATGTATCACGCCTAGTAGTGAACAATCCTAGCCTCAAAGCCAACTCTCAAGTGCCATGCAATATTCACACTTCCTCAAAGTACTCTACACAGAAGTCAAGACTTGCTTCTCCGTCACGATTCATATGCCCTCACAATTACATCAACAAAAACTGAGTTCAATCCATTACATTCGATTCATATACTCACATATATCAAGGAAATCACTCACTCTCACAAAAGAGGTCACATGCATGCAATTGGTACCATAAGCTTGCCCTTAATGTAAATCTCTACTAATGTAGGCTAACTCGATCCAAAATCAATTAGGACTTTTTCATGGTTGTAATGTGGGCTAAGGGAATGGTAGGATGTATTTAGGAATAGTGACTCAACCCCTAAGCACTTTAACACATCACACGAGCAAATTTTTTTAGCGCAAATTCTTCAACCCACTTCTCATTCACACACAATATCATCCCACAAATACTCCCTTCTTCTTTAAGCACTCTATTAATTCATTCCCACTAGCTAAAGCAAAACACAATGTAATCATCTCTCTTTTTTTTTTATTTTTTTTATTTTTTATGATAAGTTTATTCTTCTTGTCACTCAATTTCTGCTAGTGGTGTATTCGTTTACAACATAAGTGCACCTTTCATCCTTTTATTGGTTCCACTCAAAAGTAGCCCCACACTTATTTCCTTCTTACTTCTTTTAGCGCTCTTCTCACAATTAAAGTGCTTTAAGAAGTAAAAGGATCAAAACAATGTCAATTAAGAACAAAAGGGTATAGACTTGTAATGCGGGTGCCAAACAAAAAGTCTGAAGGCTCANCAAAAATAAAAACTACCTATGCCTGGTTCAAGCTAAACCCTTGGAAAAGAACCGCGGCTTAAAGAAAAACCAAGGGGGAATTGCTACACTACCTAAAAAAATTAAAAAATCTTTTTGTCGTTTTCTTTAGACTCACTTCCCTCAAAAAAGTCGTCTAAAAGATCCGTCATCAGGAAGAGCCTATAATTTTTCTTTTCAGTTTTTTTTTTAAATTAGTGAAACTACTCCTTCTTAACAAAAACTATCAAGTCAACATGAGACAAACAAAATAACCTGGCAATTTGTACAATTATATACAACATACAATGAAGGAATCCCCCACCCCACACTTAAAAAGAAGACATGTCCCCATGGCTTAAAATTGAAAAGAGCAGTGAGGTAAAGAGACTTCCCTGGAGCTTCACTCTTGATCAGACACGGTTTCGGGGTTCACGTTGCACGCACGCCCCAAACCTCGCAGCCAACCCATGAATTTCTTTTCCGACTTGACTTGTCGGTCAGCTATCGCGTCCACACGAGTGCTCAAATCATGCATGGAAGTGCGTATATCAGCCACCTCCTATTCCAATGTGGTGGACCGGGATACTCTGGCACTTCTTGAAGAGGATGCTGCGCGTGACCGTGCTGCAGCTGATTTTCTGGGCGCTTGAGCCAGTGCTTCTCCCTCCACATCCATTTGCTCTTCCTCCTCCGAAGCATCCGAACCACTTTCATCCTCTCTACCTGCCTCTGCTGCTGAGGTTGCTTCCGTGGTGTTCGGTCCAGGTCGGATCTTGTGGCTTTTTCGTACCAGCCCGTCCACATGAATGTTTTCAGGCACCTTCACATTCTTGTAAAGCCTAGTCAGCAAAGGTGGGAAAAAGAAACCATACTGGCGTTGGGGGCATCAGATAAACATCTCGTCGTGGATCACTTTGGCCATGTCGAAGGGAAGACCCTTGATGAAATACCAAATCAACGCAGCCCGGGGTATATTCACCTCCGTAGTATTTGTAGGGTGGATAAGGCGACTGTTGATCACATACAGCCAGCTCTTCACCTCTTGAGTTAAGACGGATGAATGGAACTTCTCTCCATGTTCTAGCCACTCTACCATTTTTCCTGGTTCACAAATTTCATCAAAGAAGCGCTCCCACTTGGCATCGGTTGGATTGCGCCCATATTCATAAAAGTCCGTGTTCTCAGGCAGAGGGCCCGACAGTTGATAAACTGTGCGTATCGCCTCAACGGAGGCATCTACCGCCTTACGGCGCACTGTGACCACATGGTTGACATGCTCGGGTAGATTGGCATAGAATTCTCGTACCACCATTACATTAGCCTCCCCTGGCTCGTCAATGAAAGCTTGCAAACCCCACTCCATCAACTCATTGAACATGTGGGGGCATCGTTCCTTGACCTTTTTGATGTTGATGCCCCTTTCCGCAATTGCTTTCTTAGCCGCCTTCTCTGTAAAACGGGTATGAGCCTCAAGGGAGACAAATTTGTTGCTGTCATAGGAGCGTGCTGGAGCTACCCTTTGGCGGCTTGATGATGGACCCGTGGCTTGGCGCTTTTTTGTTGGTGCCATAATACCTGCAAAACGTGGACACATTAGCTCAACCCAACAAAAGTAGTGTGACTTGCTGCGGTTACTCAGACTTCACACGCAAAATTGGTCACAACTACATAATCATGCTCATTAAGGCCTTTCCACAAACACCTTATGGGCATTAGGCTCTCACAGTTTTTTCTAAGGGTCTTGCAACAAAGGCTTCCCACAAAAGTTCATCCATAACCCAATTCAAGTACTTCCCACCCCACACTTACAACAAACTAACCCCACAATATATTTTACCAAGTTTGAAACTCAAATCACAAAATACAACTACATTCATGGCATAAACTACAACAAGAAACTTAAATTCTGAAAATAGAAAGAGAAAAAGAAAGAAAACTAAAACTAGAGCTCATACCTTGTTAGAATTTGTGCGGTAGGGTGATGCTGCTAATGATTTTAGGGAAGGAGACCATGAGATATGAGATGAGTGCTGGAAGTTATGAGAGTTTGGGGGTTTCGTTGGTTTGGGAGAGATGATAGTGTTTTGGGGGTATTGGGTTTGGTTTAATAAAAGGG